TCTGTAAGAAAACTGATGCCTGATGTTAAGCACTTCAGGCATAAACACAGCAAGCAAAATTAAGTAACTGTCACAATTGTATGGAAGAAGTTTCCATAAGAAGCAAAGGGAGGGAGTGGGGTGTGTGTGACTAATGATTTTAAGATTATTATTATTATTTAATTGGGAATAAGTTAAAAGGATGAGGCAACTTACCATTTTATCTAAGCGATGGTATATACTCTGTGAAAGACAAGTGCATGTTATTTCCCTCCTCAATGCAGTTAATTCTATCAATCCACTTCAATATTTGTACTGTTGCTATCTTCACTATATTATGCTCAAAACCAAGAACACAAACAAGTTGTTGTTTATATGTTGGGTAGCGACTTGGTTGCAAAATCTGGGCTTTCACTTCCTAGTATAGTCTATAAATGGAATGTGCTGTGTGTTATGGCTTCAGCTCATTTTATTTACAGGCTGCCATGGCAAAAGCAGAAGAATAAATAGCTAAAAGGAACTCATCCTAGAGGGAGATAATCAGTGTAGGAATATCTCAAAGCAAAATTCAACAATCCTTTACATTGATTAGGATAATTCATTCTTTTACATCAACAGCCCTTGGCTCAGCCAGTGACAAAAATGTTATCTCATAATTGGAAAATTGAACCTAGAATATTGTGGGAATTTAATTCCATGGAGTTGGGTAGAAAAATAGAACATAGAAGGTGAACTAGCAGTTTATTAGCACTTTTGGAGATGTGAATACAGCCTCATACGTGCACCTGGGTTAAAAGCATTAGTCTTGCAGCGACTTCTTGCTGGATCAGGTAAAGGAAAGACTAGTCAGATGTTGCTGCATGAGGAATGCAATCCAATTTCCTGTCCGCTGCAATATTGTACATCTAAGCTGCACACAACCAGTTTCTAACAGCCCTGTCACACCATGGGTATTTCTTCTCTTGTATACCGCTCTTAAACCAAGTGCCCAGACACTGGAATATACCATGGGTATTAAGGACAGTGCATTCATAATCCACTCCAATGCATGGTGTTTATCGCACAGGCAATCCCAAGCTGTGAGAACATAATAGCTATTCTCATTGCATGGGAGCATGGGAAGAGTATCTGCCTCATGATTCAAAAGCAAACATCCAAGAAGTTGGATTTGCATGTTAAAATATTTAGCATCCCCTTCATCCTCCCTTGTCGCTTTCCTATTGCATCCATCAAGTCATTGTTGCAAACTTCCTTATATGACCATTTAAAAGCACACAAACACCATGTACATGAGGATCATGACTTATAGCAAAGATGGGGAAACTGTGGTCCTGCAGGTGTTGCTGAACTACAACCCCCCAAGATCATTGCCATTGACCACGCTGGCTGAGGCTGATGGGAGCTGGAGTCCAGCAACATCTGGAGGCCACAGGTTTCCCATCCCTAGTTTATGGTAGGAAACTCACAGAGACCCAGGAAGCCTTCCCAGGTAAAGAAACCATGTTCTTAATTGTAAGAAAGAGCTGTTCTGAGCTGCAGCCTCCTACCCAACAAGTTCTGCCCCAATTTATACGTACGTAAAACAAACAATAGCTAGAAATAAGTGGATGGGATGTAACATGGTGTTTCCTTACAGCAAATCACTTCTTCCTGTGCAGTGCATAAGCTGTTACTCACTCCCATGTTCAGTACCATAATCCACCCAAAGTGCAGGGGAAAAGGACAGGATGATCAAGGCCGTAGAACTCTTATGTAGCAGTCTAATTATAAGGCTAAGTCAATCACATAATTGATAGCTACAGAGTTTCTGGTTGGGACTTGTCAGGTCCTGTTGCGGTTGCTCGAGAGTAAGCAGGCAGGACTCCGACCTGCGTTTTACGGGCTTTATTTTGGTGCAGACTATTTACAGTGAAGAGCCCCAAGGCTCATGTCTGGCTCAATCGCTAGCAGAATCCGGGAGTGGTCTTTTTTTGTACCTCCCCTCTCAGCTGGAGGGCCAAGTTTGGCCATGCCTGGTGTAAACAATATTGAGCTAGATGGACCAATGAACTGGCTTGGTATTCCTGTGTCCCTAGTACAACATAAGCTAGGTTTCTCTGCTCTGGATAGAACCTAGTGTTCTAGGGACACTTACATTCTTTATTTGATATATTCTCTTAAAGCTAGAGCAGGGAATTATAAACCACGGCTCTTTGCACAAAGTCCCAGATAGGAAGATAACTAGCTGCCCTGATGAACCCACCAGTGTTTTGACATTGCAGAAAAGGGAGGGGTGATCTGCTGGGTTTTAAAAGGCGGAGCAGTAGTGGCTGTTAAAGAAAATAACACGTTTGGCTACATGGCAAGTCAGGTGTGTTCTACTTTAAGAGTAACCAGAGGTTAAGACTTATCTGCCAGAGAAGCTAGTTGGGGAAGAACGGAGATGGCCAAACACATTACTAAGTCCTTGTTCACATCTTTGTTATTCTCTACCTTATAAAGACAGAAACTGCCTTAGTCAATGGTCTGTCTCAGTATTAACTTCACTGTCTGACAGAAGCACACCTACTTGGAGATATCGGGGATCAAACCTTTTGCCTGCTTGGCTGTGGCCCTTCCCCTCCAAGCTTTTTGGATGGTATCTTGCATTTTGTTGTGATCATAGGGTTTGGTAAACCGAAACAGTCCTGTCAGGGAACTGCCATCAGCCCAGAGGTGAGAAATAGAAGGGCAGTTGTGTTACAGGGAGCCTCCGAAGATCTTGCGAAGCAGTTCCTCTTCTGGAGAGGAGGGAAGCCCCACCTCCAGTGGAGAAGAGGTGCAATGACCAGAGGATGCTAGTGAGAGCCTTAACACCGCTCCTGAGCAAGCCGGAGAGGGGGGAAGCACGCCCTTGCCATTGCCTATCCTGCGCAGTAGTCTGGGGCGCAGGGAGGGGGTTAGGTTGTCAGGCTCAGGCAGTGGTGCTCCTGGCCCAAACACCATCTTGGTCACGTAACTTCCTGATTGAATTCCAGCCTCATACCAACCTTGTGAACAAAGTTAATTGGCCAAACATGCCACCTCCTCAAAGCTCCTTGCAGGAAAGGCAAGGATGGCTTTGGAGCAGGGGTAGCCAACACTGTGTCCTCCAGATCTTGTTGAAACTAAAGTCATACCTCGTGTTGCGTTTGCTTCAGGTTGAGCGTTTTCAGGTTGCATCCCGCAGCGACCCGGAAGTACTGGAAAGGGTTACTTCTGGGTTTCGCCGCTCGTGCACATGCTCAAAATGACGTCACACACATGCGCAGAAGCGGCAAATCACGACCCACACATGCGCAGACGCGGGTTGCGTTCTGCTCATGTTGCGAATGGGGCTCCGGAACGGATCCCATTCGCAACCAGAGGTACCACTGTACAACTCCCATCATCCTTTACCATGCTCTGTGGATTGGTTCCCCCTGCCTTAGAAGAAATACATGCAGCTCTCCAGTAATCAATGTGCATAAGCTAGAGACGTGTGTGTGTATGTCCTACCATCATCATCATCAATAATAAAATCCCACCTTTTCCCCAGACTGGGACTTAAGGCAGCTTACAGATAAAATAGGAATAGCTAAAAACAGATTTATGTTTTGGGTTGGGAGGAGTGTCCACCACTCATCTTATCTTACTTCATTTAAATATTTTCACCCCACATTTTCATATAAGGTGCTTGGCATACGTACCGAATAAAATACCAACTTTCCCAAGCCCTCTGGCTGAAACGAAAAGGGCAGGGGGATAAGCTGGTCAGGCCACTTCCAGTGGGTGTAGCACATCCCTTCAGCTGGGTGGGAGTGATGGTGGCTGACAGCGAACACAGCAAAGGAGGAAGAGAAAAGAAGGGGTGCGGGGGCATACACAACGTAGATAAAAACTAGACTTAAAAGTAGCATGGGGGTGGGGCAGCACTAGTAACAGAGCAGGGCTGTTGGAAGTGTGAAGGCCAAGAGCCCTGGAAGGGTAAAAGGCTTACCAGAAGGGGCACCATGTCACTGCTGCACAGGGTGGGCAGCTGGCCCCAGGGCATGATGGGATACCGTTCTATTCTATAGGTCTGACAATGTCACTGATTTTAGGAGGCTGTTTTAGGAGGCCGTGCCCTTTTCTCTGACCATATATCTGTCAACACCACCCTCCCTCTGCTGCAGCGAAACACAAGGACACAGGATGAAAGAGAGCGAGCGATGGACTTTATTAGGCAAGGAGGATGCAGTGACATTTTTATGGCGACAAATCTAAGATCAAAAGTTTATTTAGGTCACACTGCAAGTGGCTGCGAGCGCTACAGTTAATGTCTGGCCGTTCAAAAAGGCAGGAACTGACAATTCTCCAGTAGTGCATTACAAGAGACTATATTGATCAGTCTTGCTTACACAAAATGTCAAAGTAACTTTAATTCCAATTTATATTTAGAGTACAATAGCTTGTAGCAAGCATTTCCCCAAGTGCTCAAGCTAGATCAATATTTATGAAAAACCTAGGAGACAGCTTTCAATATATAAAAATAGTTGATGCCCACTGCCACCAATACTTATGAATTTATGAAACATGATGACACAACCCTGCCCCAAAATTACTCAAGAAAAATAACTTTGCTTCTGAATAATGCCTGGAAACAAAAATTACCTCAGCCTTCCCACACTTCCAACTTATGCTGTAGAGAGAGCATTAGGTCTCAACCTCATTTCCAAGTTCCCTGAACTAATGTGAACCCTCACACCCTTTACTCTCCAAGACTTCCAATATCTTTAGCCATACAAATCTTTTCTTGATCTCCTGCAAATTGCTCCATTCCTTTTGATTCCTAGTAAGCTTTGCTATTTGAAAAGTCTAGCTGTGTTATTCCAGTGCCACCACACATAAAAATTCACTAAGTACACAAAGAGTTCCTCTCAAATGCTAGCTCCACCATAAATGTGGGCTTATGGCCAGATGCTAAGCACGTTTACCCGGAAGTTAAGGGCCACTATGTTAAAGGGGACTGACTGCCTCTTAAAAGTGTGCTTACGTAAGCAGCCTTAGTCATCCGCCTCCTCATAGTGTGCATAGCCGCTGGCATAGGTTCTTCCTAAATTCAAGTGACCAAACATACTGGTTGCCTCCGTTTCCGAATCCCTCCCTCCTTCCTCCTCCTCCTCGTCTTCATCGTCATCCTCTGCTTCGTAATCATCATCTTTGCCAGCCGAAAGGTTCTTCCAATAAGCATCATAGCCGGAAGCCCCGTCAGCCTCTTCGCCTCCTGTCTGTCGGCCAAACCTCAGAGAGCGTGCTGCAGAAAGAGAGGAAAACATCCTGTCTTTGTTTCACTTCCCATCAAGGAAGGTGGGTGTTAAATAGTTCAGGTAAAACCCCAACAACTCTACCTTACATCTATTTTCACATGTGTAATTCTCATGATTGCACCGTCAAATAACACTAGAAGCAGGTAAGGCATTATCACAAATCCGTAAGAAACCCATTCATTCATTCATTCATTCTTTGTCTTCTTTAATTTTTTCTCCCCCTTCTCATTTACAGGATCATTCTGGTTAGCCAGTGTGCTCCTGGTGAAACGAGGCACAGAAGCTTCTCTGCGGTTTACACCCTTTCTGACGGAGATGAAACCATCCTCATCTCGTTGCATTAATTCAAAAATACGCTACCAGATTTTATGATAAGTCTTTTGAACAGGGAAGAACATGGACTTCCCAGTACGAGGTTTGCTGCAGGTGATAAGGGTAATTGCAGGTGGAAATGGTTACCAGTGTTAGAATAATAATAACTAATAAATAATAATAATATCTTTATTGTCAATGTACAACCTGTGTACAATGAAATTAACCGAGCCTCCCCCCCTAAAAAAACACATTCTCATTGCACTCTGTGTGCTTGTCGCACAACACACCAACCTTGAAAGTCGGTTGCATATATTATTTTCTGTTCAGCAGCCTAACAGTCCATGGATAGAAACTGTTTTTTAGCCTGTTGGTACAACAGATTATACTTCTATAACTCCTGCCCAAGGGTAGAAGATTAAAGAGGTGCTGGCCAGGGTGTGAATCATCCCTGAGAATTTTTCTCACTCTCCTAAGGCAACGATCCTTTGCGATGTCATCTAGCGGGCTCAGGGGACAGCCCATGATATCAAGTGCTGTGTTCACCACCTTCTGTAAAGACTTTCTGTCCATGGCTGTCAAGCCAACGTACCACACTGTGATACAATATGAGAGCACACTTTCTATTGTGGACCAGTAGAAGGAGGTCATCAATTGTTGTTTAACATTGTTCTTTCGCAAGACCCAGAGGAAATGGAGTCTCCTTTGGGCCTTCCTCACCACCTGAGTTATACTGTTTATCCAAGTTAGGTCTTCACTAAGGTAAACTCCCAGGAATTTAAAGGAAGAGACTCTCTCCACACAACCCCCCCCCCCCACCGATATACAATGGGGCTAGTTCCCCTCTCTTCCTCCGAAAGTCCAACACTCAGGTATATAAGCTAATTGCCAAATGGCAGCTTTAATCTAGGTTACGGTCACCACAATGGAATGTCTAGGTGCCATTGGGGTGGGGTGTTGAAATTAATTAATATACTGCTTTATGTTTTAATGCAAAAGTTCAGCGCGGTTTACAGCACATTAAAACATCAAATAAAACAATCCAGAAAAATAACAAAATCAAGCTTCAAGAAAAGCTTCTCTAAGTGACATGATTAATATAGCAGCCCCATAGCAGAAGTACCCTAGGAAGCATATGGGGTGTAGTCGTTAAGAGTGTCAGAACAGGACCTGGGAGATCAGGGTTCAAATCCCCACTCAGCCATGAAGCTCACTGGGTGACCTTGGGCCAGTCACAGCCTCTTAACCTACCTCACAGGGTTGTTGTAGGGATTAACTAAGGAGGAAGGTAAACCATGTACTCCTTGGGAGAAAAATGTGGGAGATTAATGCAATACACAAGCTCTTCTGCTTACCTGCTTAAGAAAGCTGCAGGGGCCAGCCAGGTGGAGATGTCAGCTGTCAACCTAGCATCCAGAGATCTTCACATGGTTGCAAAACATGCCTGGTGCCTGGGGAATTCTGAATGTCATTACCAAAGGGAAACTTACTTGACATGCTCAGGTCCTTAGTCTGTTGCGTTTCATGGCCACACTTAGGGCAGGGAGGCTCCCTTCCCTTCTCTTGTTTGAAAACCTTACTCCGTGCGTGATCATCGCAGAAACAAGCCTGCAGGTTATATAAAATAAATAAAAGAAAAGGGGAAATATATCACAAAAGAACAGACTGCAATCGGAAAAGAAGCCCCACGGAGAAACACAGCAGACTGCCCAAGCTGAGTGGCGATGGGATACATACCACTACCATCTAGCAAGCTCCATTTGAATCTTTTTAATTCACTAAAATATATGCAGCCCGCCTTCTGCACAAAAGCTGGCTAATGACATTAGGGGGAAACAAGAATAGTTCCTCCTCTTAAGTATTTGTTTGAGTGGGGCAACTGGATGGAGACATTTCAGTCTAGCTGGCGATGCAAGACTCAGCATAAATCAGGGCCCGTAAGGACAGCTGTGCCCCTTCCCAATCTACTCAACCAGCTCCTGTTCAGAGCCGTGAGCAACTGCAGGGGAAGTTGGAGTAACTGTAATTGGGCTCTTCATCCCCATAAAGCCCTTCTCTGTCATGGCTACGGATCTTTGGACTCAGCTGCATGCCAGTGGCGGGCAGGACCAGAAGCAAAAGTGAATGGGACAAGGAATGCGTCCCACACCTTTGTACAATAGGGTGCATGCCAGCCATTCAAAACTCAAAGAGTTTTCTACAAACACACATGCACACATTCTCCATCTTTCATCGAGGCAAACGAGAGGCTTTAATACAGTCCAAGGACACAATTTCAGCCAGGCGACAGACAGCACTGGTGCACCAGAGGGAGTGGTCTGGGGAGAGGGGCCACGAGGCCCACTTCCCTGGGGCAACTGATTCATCAGAACCCCGTGAACGATAATACTAGCAGATATATAGAAAATGTGCAGGGTAATGAGATGTTATCTCGGCTTCACGCGGAAGCAGCCTGGTGCAGACGGCAGCCAGGCAAAGATGAAAGGTTTTTGCATTTTGAATGAAAGGAAACCAGCAGAGGGAAAAGGCTGCGGCAGTGCTGAGGCTGTAACAATGAGCGAAGGAAGGCAATTTTAGCAACTGGGGTTTAGAAGGACTGGAGGGAAGGAACACCAAGTGTCCAGGAACACAGCATGGAGGTTACATTAATCAAAGAGAGATGGGAACAGGACCCAGATAACTTCTTTGGGGAGGCGGGTGGGAATCAGGAGACGTTTTTTGATGCATTGTGGAGAAGGACGTGGCAAGAACCGCCAGCAGCTTTCAATGTATATGAGAGCTGTAAGCCCGATACATCTACTTTCTAAATGCTTTTGCTGTTACCTTACAACGGAGACATGAATGCTGCCCAAGTCGATTACAGGAAACACCTATTAGGCAAGATAAAAAAGGCATGCTTGAATAATGAGATTTCATGGCTTTGCTCTTTTCCTTTCGCCTTCTAAGCCAAGGTCAACTATTCAGTTCAATGGGTAGCCTCAGGCTTTCCATGACTGCGCCTCTTTAAAGTACAAGGAAAATGAACACTCTGCCTCAGCCGGAAAAAAGAAGCGAACAGACATTTTTAACGATGTCCCTGCAGAGCTCGGGCCCAACGTTGCTCTTCCTCCCTTCCTGAGAGCAGAGGAAGTCCTCTTGACTGGAAGCAACAGCTTGTACAACAAGGACGAGCAGAATAACTATACTGAACAACAACAACAACAAATGTGGGGGACTTTACAAGCAGTAATGCTGGAGGAGAAGTGCAAAACTCAGGCACATCACAAACCTGGCATTAGTGCAAGGAGGGCCTAAACACACAGGGCTGATCATCAGCCTGGCTCTCCTTGAACTAAAACAACAACAACAATTTATTACTTGTAACAACAACAACAACAACAACAACAACAATCCTTTATTACTTATAACCCGCCCATCTGACTGGATTGCCCCAGACACTCTGGGAGACTTCCAACGTAATAAAAACATAGCAAAACATCAAATATAAAAAACTTCCTGATACAGGGCTGCCTTCAGATGTCTTTGGAAAGTTATGTACAGGCAGTGACCATTTTAGGCGCATCTAACTGACATGCAATCACCGATGTGCGAGTCTTTTTCAGCCTGGTAGAAGGCAGAATGGAGGTGTAATGAGGTGGGGTGTGCTTATTATATGCACTCCACTGATGCACACAGGGGCCAGGAACAGAACCCCAATTCAAAATGGTTGCCATCTGTAGTGGTTTACCTGTTTGACATCTGATGGGAGGGTGTTCCACAAGGCAGTCGCCACTACTGAGAAGGCCCTTTGCCTGGTTCCCTGTAACTTCACTTCTCACAGTGTGGGAACTACCAGAAGACCCTCAGAGCTGGATCTCAGGGTCTGGGCTAAATGATGGGCGTGGGGTCACTCCTTAAGGTATACAGGGCCTAGTGGTGCACACTCTGGGCTTGTGAAAGGGACACATCACAACTAGACCCTGTACTGGCATTGTTCAGTACCCAACTTCATCTGCAAAACACTGACCCATCTTACTCATGGTATGGGGTTGGGGGAAGGTTGCTACATTCCACAAGGCACTGGCTTAAAGTTCGCTACCAAACTACTATCTGGATATGAGCAGAAGCAGTTAAAAGCTGGTTCACCTTTAATAAGGGAGACTTTCAGGGATATAGCTTACATTTAAAGGTCTCGGCTTCCAGGACTTGGCAGCTGGCCTGATGTTCAAACTGATCATCTTCGCAAAGAAAATTGTGGCAAAAACAGCAGCTGAATATTCTGCCTCCTAGAAGATTCAGCAAGACACAATGTAAAGGATCAAAATCAGTCCCCACACTCCCTAGCATCATAAAACAAGCAGATGTCATGAATCAATTCTAGGAATGAAAGAAAACCTGGCCTGTCTTGCACCAGATAGAAAAATACTGTGGATTACAGTGGTACTAGCCATTTGTGTAAACAAGATGTTTTATAATATTAATCGCATTTTCCTGGTTAGGTTGAGATGGCTTGGTCACGGAATGACAAGACCACCATATTAAAAGAGATTTTATTGCACAGCAGCATCTAAACCAAATATTCCAGCTACATCTGCACCCACCCCACCCCTCAAAAATAGCCTAAACTAACAGTTCAGTTCTATACATGTCTTGCTGCTTTTGGTGGGTTGCAGTCTAAGGTGGTACACTGTTAAGGCCATTGAGATAAAGAGGAGAAAGCCAATGAAACACCTTTTCCTGAAACTGGAGTGGTGGGGGGAGTGTGAAAGGAAGAGATATGCACAACATCCCAAGAGGATGCTGTAATTTTGCAGAGTTGATGGTTTAGCACAGGCTTTTATGACTGCTGGTAATGATAGCTAGTAGCACAAATTACCTTGGTAGTTTGAAAACTTCCCTCCTGTGTAATATACTTTCGGACAGACAGTGTATCAGTGGGAGGGAGTTCACGTGATAAATTGCATCATGAGCTGCAGCCAATCCAAACAGCCTGTGCAAATACTCCCAAGGGATAGCCAGCTAAGTCACAGGCACTTAAGCCTACCAGTTTCAACAACTCTACCCCGAGTACAACCTTAACACACATCCTCAATTCCTACACATAGAACAAGTAATAGTTTTCTTGCATGTGTCATCTGAAAAGGGATATGTGAAGGGGTCTGCCTCTCCTCCAATTTTAGGATTCTCTACTTCTAGTGAAGTTGTTTTCAATTCATAAAGACTTGCTACGGCAAGGAAACTAGCCCTGTAGCCACCTTCCTTTGGTAATTGGTGAGCTTTCCAAATGCAAGTGAAACAAGAGAACACACCCCTCTAACTGGTGAACAACTCACCGTGATCCCAGACACCTCTCTCACATTCAATGCACTCTGCGTCGGCCAGAGGACAGATACAAGCATGGGTGCTAAGGCATTTCCTGCCATGGCAAACCCAAGCTTCACAGAAATCACATATGGCCCCCTGCAAAAGAAGAACCCACACATTACTATGGACTTTGGCAGACCTCTATATAAGCACCAGCTCTGCTGAACAAGCAAGGACCGGGCATGCATTCCAGGCAGCGGCAGCAGGAGGGAGTCATTCTGAAGCAGTGGAAGGCAATTTTGCTCAGCGCTGCCATCCATCTCCCAAATGCATTCCATATTCTCAGGGCTCTTTTTTTTTTTTTTTTTTGCAAGACTGCTAAGTGCCCATTCCTAAAGTACATTACATGAAATTGAATCCCATTGATTTTCTTTCTGTGTTTTCTTTTTTAATCCCACACGCTACTCTCAGCAACCAGAATTGCTCGGAAGTCCTCGCTAAGGAACGCGACAGACCCGGACAAGATGTTCCAAAGTATGCAAGCAGCCTGCGTTCCACGGGCTACTCCCCCCACCCCCCATGAATTGCTGCGCTGTCTCATCCAGGGAGCCATGCATGTGGACAACAACAGAGCTGCCCATTATGTTCATACCAGGCAATGTATTCAGGGAAGCTTTGCTTATCTGCAAAAGGATTTGCACTATGCAGTTTGCTCGTGACAGCATAGAACACGCAGAAACAAGGAAGTCGATCTTCAAAAGAAATGCCGTATTTACTCGAGTCCAATGCACCATCGCACCTCAATTTTCAGAACCTTGAAACCAAAAAAAGGAGTTGCTGGCAAATGTAAATGTCCCATCGAATCTAACGCAGACCTTAATTTTCGTGTCGTAATTTGGCCAAAAAAAGGTGAACATTAGATTTGAGTAAATACGGTATTTTAAAAATGCATAATCTTGTTTTCCTCTCCTCTATATATAGGCTAATAGTGTTTTTTGTCTTGAGTTACTAGCTAACCTTCCCATGATTCCAGGCTCAATTGTTACCTTTCATGGAAGCAATGTGTTATCTCTCTTGAAACGTGTGACTCTGAAGTCCAAGACTGGGATATTCACGACTTTGGTTGCAAGCTGCCTTACAGATAGGCATGGTCATGCCTATTAATTTGAAAAGGGCTGAAGCATGCACAATGATCTGTGCAAATGTTACCATTCCTGCATTTTCCTGCAGTCCAAACAGGTAACAGTGGCTGAACCTCAACAATGAAATCCAGGGCTCTGCAGTCAAGGGGCCTCCAAATGACCACCCAGGCAACAGAAGGCAATGGAGGGCAGGGGCACACAGACTCCCAAATCAGCATCCTGTCTTATTTTTAAAAAACATTTTATAGCCAGGATTCAGAAGGTTCTGGTTGCTAATTTGAATAATATTTTTTTTAATGCTTATTCCAAAATACATGTGTTTACCTTCAAGACAGCAGAACCAAAGATCACGATGGTGCTATGAGTTTAAAATGTGAAACTGTGCATGCTTATGAGTTTGTTTGCTTTTTATTTACCAGGGTTGGCAAACTATTTTGGCTTTTTGTTCCAATATAACAGGAATGTAGAAACCATTGTAATGCATAGAATTGCAGGGGAGTCAGGAAGGCTGTGGAAGAGCAATGTTATTTATTTATTTTTATTTATTTATTTATTTATTTATTTATTTATTTATTTATTTATTTATTTATTATTATTATTATTAATGTGAGCTTCATTATTATTATTAATGTGTGGTAAGACCACCACTCCAGGGTTGAAAATTACTGAGCTGCACCCCTGGGTAACAAGAAAAGAGCCATCAGCACAGTTGGGCAAGTAATCTCTTCAAACTTTAGTTGCACTTATCACATATTCTAAAACTGATGTATTGTTTCCAGATACATACCACCATAGAAAGCCCAGTGCTGTACACACCAGCATGTTTTATGACACAGTCTGAAGATTTCATCATGCATTTTGTTTTGCCTATTACAGAGAGAAAAGAAATATTACACACACACACACACACACACACGAGTGTTCAGCAACACTAAAGCTCCATAAAAAGCCATAGCATTTGTCTCTTTCAGTGTTTACAAGTGTTTCAGGCTAAGGGGGGAAAAGTGAGAGTAAGGACTATCATACAAGGGATCTGAGCAAACTGTGGTATTTTAAATTGCTCAAATCAATACACATCTGATCAAAACAATGAGTTGGATCCAGCAACACCGTGTTGTAAGGACTTCTGTGTGACCAGACTTTCACTCCCTCTTCTCCCCTCCACCACTGGCTTGCAACTCACCAATTTTTCGTGGGTTTCTCTCAACCCTCTGGAGCAGATTTGGTGGAGCAAAAAGAAGAAGTCCTGTTGTGCAGACCGTAGTCTTTGCACTAATGCGACAGTCTTATTGGATACAACTGAATAATTTATTTTTTCAGATAGTTCACCATCTTAGAAGAGGCATTCTTTATTCATCACGGATGGGGGGTGGGGAACCTGTTGCCTTCCAGATATTGCTGCATAATTGAAAATTGACCTCGCTTGCTGGGGCTGATGGGAATTGGAAGTCTGGAGGGACAGAGGTTCCAGAGTCCAGAAACATCTGGAGGACTGCAGGTTCCACATTCCTGCACTAGAGAGGCTGCCTCTTCTGAGGATGCAGCCTTTCATCTGCAGTTTTTACAACTGCTTTATTAAAAATAATTTGCTGCATGCTTAAAGGTGCTGATAGTTTAGACTGAACAATTAAAAGCAGCTAATGTTTTCAGCCCCAGAAGGAGCCCAAATAAGGTAACTTTCCTGTCACGTTTGAGGGTGAATAACCTGTGTCCCTCCAGATATTGGTGGAGTCGCTACTCCCACCAGCTCCAGCCAGCGTGGCCAATGGTCAGGGATGATGGAAACTGAAATCCAGCCACATCTGGCACCAACAGAGTCAAAATATGGCTAAGTTTGTATAATCAGGCCACAATGCAAAAATAAAATTCTAAGCACAGACCAATTGTAGGAACACAGAGAATTAAGAGAAAGACTTACCGCACTGTGCGCAAATGGGCAGCTTCTGGACAGAGCTACAAAAGTAGCAAAAAGCTCTATTTTTCTGCCGTCTGTCAGAATAAAAAAAGGGTGAAACAAATAAATGGATGAAGTCCGTTTAAAATGGTGCCAAAAATGTTACATGTAAAGAAAATACTGAATGCGCATTTACCTCTGACATTTATCACATTCCTGTAAGAGAAAGAGAGCTTGTTTTACAGGAGTTCCCATTTAAATTCAGAGTTTATAAACTTGTGAATTCACTTGCCACAAACACAGTTTGTTGGTCCTTTCCCCACTTTGAGTGCCCCACGCAAATAAAAACACACAATGAAGGTGCAACAGTCAGTGCTGCAGGTGGAGTACACCCATGTGTTTGTATACGTAAAGTCCTTCTAGTATCGCCAGGAGGGCTCCAAAAGCTTTGCCCTGGATCAATAACCAGCTCTTATTTGTACTTGCCGCTACCCTCCCCCTGCCCTCCCCCTTCCTTTGTGAAAACCAGACAACTTGAAGAAGAGCTGAAGAAGAATTTCACTCTCTGTGTGTGTGCAACGGGAACTATTTCATTGTTTAAGAAGATTTATAACATCCGGTGTCTTTTGCAAAATCTCAAGGTTATATGCTTAGGATCTAGTCCTGCTCGTTTCAGTCTGATAAGGAGAGGAGGGTGAGATTGACAGTGCTTTGACACTGGGAGAGGAGAAGCAGGAATTTTAAAGCCATTATCAGAAATACATCTCAATATTTACCATGGAAGCATTGCAGGGATGTTTAGCCAAATCAATGTTGCCTCTTGAAGCCCTTATCTGCTTCTCCCGTTCTTTACGGCTCTCGGCCTTCTTGCGAGCGCCAGTCTTCTTTTTAGGCATTCTTCACTTTCTGGGAGACAATGTTTTACTCAACAACATTTGACGAAGAGTGATTGGTATCCTCTTAAATGGATGCTAAACGTAATTTTTAAAATCGTGACATATTCCTCCCTTCCAGATTTTTATTTTTATTTTGGAATGTGCCCATAAACACGCATTAGCAATTCTAATCACCGACCACTTGCCCTTCAGGTGCTGATAGGCTACATCTCCCATCATCTCTGACCACTGGCTAGGCCAACTGGGGATGATAGGAGTTGGTAGTCCAACAACAAGTGGTTAGCCACCCCTGCTTCAGAGTTCCCAAACTAGCTGCTCAACACAGAATAGCTACACCTAGAAAGAAGAAAAGATACGAAATGAAAACTATTTGTAGCTTTGTTGTCAAATGCCCTGGAACTCGTACGTTTTGGCTCCGAACGCCGCAAACTCGGAAGTGATTGTTCCGGTTTGCAAACATAAACGTTCTTTTGGAACCCAAATGTCCAATAGGGCTTCCACGGCTTCTGATTGGCTGCAGGAGCTTCCTGCAGCCAATCAGAAGCCGCAATTTGGTTTTTGAATGTTTTGGAAGTCAAACGGATTTCCGGAACAGATTCCATTCGACTTCCAAGGTACAACTGTAATAGAGTGGCTGACAAGAGCTACAAAGCAGCAGTCTTAACCTGAAGCTCAATACCAAAGGAACACTTGGTCCTTACCCTTTCTTTTGCCTAGTTCTCCAAGGCAGCAACCCATCACTTGTAACCAGCAGATTAAGGCTTCTCCCTCGCTCCCCAACAAGTATTTTCCCATGAACAACGGGTTCATGAGTGTCTGCCCCATGGTGATATTGAATTCCCACAGAAGCTGGGATAGGACAGTGTGATTCAAGTGATAGCCTGTGGGTTATACATTGTAAGTTGCTGGGAGTCCCAAGCAGAGAGAAGTCTTAATTAAAAATAAAAAAATTTAAGCTTGTTTTTAAAAAATTAGATTGGACGGGAATGATGCATATTGTACTAAAGAAAGATATATATTTTTCTTATTATTAATGTGGGGAACTCATATAAGCTGGTTAGCCTTCTATACAGTGTTTAAATTGCATTAAAAAGTCATATTTTATATTCAGAATTGCATACCAAGCTGCCTGCTGGCAACAATCATTATTCTGTAGACTGACATCTATGACACTGAATACCCAATATCACATTATAAACTAGGTTTTCTTCCTGCTTAATGTCAATTTAGCAATAAGAACTTCAATCTTTGGTATTTATACATATCATTCTAGGCATTTATTACACACCTTGAAGCACTGTAATAGCAATTTGTGGAAAAATTGGATGCTTCAAAAAATGTCAAGAGTATATTGGTCGTAAGCAATGCTACCACCTAAAATTATTCCTTCTGTCACGTACTCAGGGGACTGAACCCATATTATGAACTTTTAGTTATATGACAGCAGCTACTCAAGTCATTCATGTAAAATATTGGCAGCTGCTGGAATCGTTTATGTAAAATATTGGAGGGCACCAAACACACTGAATCTAAGATCATAATAATGCAGAATTATACTGCATTGGCTACATGGGGGGACTGGAACAGTTACTTCATCAGCTGATAGCTATTGATCAATTATTGTGCGAAGTGCTATATACCCCAGTGTACAACTCTACCTTGAAATGGTCTAAGATTCTCATCTTATCCCCAAATCCCTGTTTAGGATAATTAGGAAAGGGGCAAGAAATAAAACTGCCCTGGTCAACATACCTCAAAAAAGGATATTGCAGAGATGAAAAAGATGCAGAAAATGACAACCGAAAAGGTCAAGAGGTTGAAGCAACTCCCCCTGTAAGGAAAGGTTACAACAGCTTTTGAATTTTGTGAAAAAACAAGGATAAGGGGAAGGGAGGCAAGGCATAGACTAGAGGGTGTAGATAGGGAAAATGTTCCCCCTCCCCTGAAATGGTGGGAAATTCAGAACAGACAAAGGGAAGTCCTTCTGCAGACAGAGAGTAGTTGTGGAATTCAGTATCAAAAGATGTGGTCATGGCCACCAATGTAAACAGCTTTAAAAGGGGATTAGGCAAATTCATGGGTGAAAATGCTACCAATGGCTGCTAACCATTATGGATATATACTAGGGGTGTGGAGGCTAAACAATGAGGCAAACTGGAGTGATTTAGAAACTCAAATACAAAAGCTATTTGCCAAACGGCATGTTAAACCTAGGTAATGGTCACCACAATGGAATTTCTAGGACAGGCATAGGCAAACTCGACCCTCCAGATGTTTTGGGACTACAACTCCCATCATCCCTAGCTAACAGGGCCAGTGGTCAGGGATGATGGGAGTTGTTGTCCCAAAACATCTGGAGGGCCGAGTTTGCCTATGCCTGTTCTAAGAGGTGCCTTCCCCTGCCCCTCCAAGATTAAAAAGCTGTAAATGAATTGTGTAGATCCGTCAGCACAATGGAGGTGTCTGCCACCATCCTAGCATCCAAGGAAGTCCACATGGTCGCAACTGGACCTAGCATCCAGGAGAATTCTAACACTGTTTTGGGGGCTTCTCCTGTCAAAGTATGACATCAACACACATGTACATGAGACAGGGACTCCACAAAGCCTTGTCACTTTGTTTTTCTGAACTTTGTAGCTCTGTAATTTTCTGACCATTGTAGCTCTATGTTTGCCTATGTCTCAATCTTTCCCTAGTTCCATGGACTTTGCATGAAGTGAGGCTAAATTAAAGGTTGCCCGTGGAGTAGTAACAAGAGCTCCGCATTATTTTTCACAAAGCACAACAGTGAATGATTTTTAAATATGTGCTTAAAAAAAAAAATCTATGCTGTTCAACTTTAGCAAACAACAAAGATCTTCACAACTCCAAGGCAGTGTCCTAGTCAGTCTCATGTTGTGAGGCCTATCAGGGATCTGTACAGCCTATTTCAGAGAACATAACCACCAGCAGAAAGGTTTTTTAAATGCACAAGCACAGCACTCAGTCACCTCTTAATCATTTAAAGGCAAGAAGGAGTGAGATAAACCCCTGCTTCCCACCCTCCTCCAAAATGTGAAGCCAAAATGGAGGCTTAAGTCCTTTTTGCCTAATCAATGTATTGCCCTAATATGGATTGCAGAAGAATGTTCCCCCGCCAGAGTTCCTAGGCCTATTTGTCTGCAATTTGACAGGCTTAACCCACTCTTGATTAAGTTTTATCCAGTGTCTGTAAATTTCATCTGCTTCCACCAAAAGTCAGGGGATTATAGCCATATTTAGAGTGCCCATTAAGGCAAATGGAGAGATAAGTTTTACACAGAGTGCCATGGAACCCAACACACAGACTGGAGCAGAGGAGACAGTGATTCAGAAACAGACCAGATTTAAAAATAAAAAATACACAGACACAAGGCAACTCTTAAGGCCACCCTCAAGATCCTCTCCGATGCCATACTGGCAGTTTCGGTGTTCCTAACCCTAAAACTTCAGTAACCACTTTATAGTGCTTAACTACAACCAATGTAAACTCACCAAGAACATATTCGGTCATTCATTTTGAGGTATTTATATATCACTTTTCAGATGAACCTGACAAAGCAGTTTTACATAAAAATGTGAAACCCCCAGAGTTATATGTTTACTGGTACAACCTCCCCCAGTGCAGAGATTTTTGTCTTTCAAAATTTGTCAAGCAAGAGTCATTGCCTTGTGACATCACAGGGGCCAGGCTTGTGAGGTCAGGATACTGGAGAAGTGACAGCCCTGTCTGCACACTGGGCCCCTCAAGAGCGAATGGGTTCTAGTGCAAGGGTTTTCCTGTGCTGCTGTATTTATGATTCCCCACTTTCAATTACACAGGTATAGCTCACAGGGTAGCAACAGCAACACTAACATTGTTAGTGTCATTTACGAAAACCTGAGCAAAATTGTTGGGCTTTAGGGAGAACAGCTAGCTCTTGAGTTGCCTGTCACCTTTCACTCCCTTGTTAGCTCAGAAGCAGGCCTGGGAGTGCAGCTTTACTAATATCACAGGTCTATCCCCAGATGCAGCCAAAAATCCTCGGGAAAGGTTTCTGTTTGTTTCTTTTAAGGCACATATGAGTGTTATTGGACTACAACTCCCATCATCCCTGACCACTGAGCACACTAGCTAGGGCTGGGAGTTGTAGTCCAACATCATCCCAGAGCAGTGTTTCCCAAACTTGGCTCGCCCGCTGTTTTTTTCAGACTACAATTCCCATCATCCCTGTCCACTGGTCTTGCTAGCTGGGGATGATGGGAGTTGTAGTCCAAAAAAAACAACAACCCAGTTGGGAGACCCAAGTTTAGGAAACACTGATCTGGAGGCTTCTTTAAGGCCTAGTTCACAGGCACAGCTAGCCGAAGCAAGCACAGAATTGGAAGCTGGCGGTGGGGTGGAGGCCACCACCCAACTGGAAACTCTCGGAAAAGGGGGGCGATGGTGTGAAAGAGGAAACGGGGAAAGTTGAAACCAATTTCCCTGGGAACTGCTTGCCAGCCACATTGCAGCGAACAACCCCAAAGCACCGGAGCAGCTGCGAGGCTAAGGGCAATCGCTTCCCTCCCCGACCCCCCCCCAACCTCGTGATAGAGACGCCTTATTGCTTCCGCCCCTCCCGATCAAGGCGGGTGCGCAACCCCACGTCCCTTTCTCGCCCCCCTCCCTGTCTGCATCTGCCTATTGCAGGGAGAGGGCTCTGCCCAGCATCCCACCCCCTTCCTCGCAGATCCACTCGCTCGCAGCAGGGCCCGCCCGGTGGCTCCGGACTTTCCCCTCCCGCTCACCTAAAGTTGCTTCGCCAGCCGCTAGCGAGGCAGGAAGGCGAAAGCCGGTGTCCCAACTGCTTGCTCGGGGGGGGGGACTCCTGCCTCGCCGCGGCGACTGAGCATGCCCGGCGGAGGGTGAGCATGCTCAGTGGGAGGCAGCCCGTGAAGCAACCTCGCCTTCATCTTGCCCTTAGTTGGGGAGGGATTCTCCTCCCCGTCTAGGTTCGCGGGAGGATTTACAAGCAGCAGAGACCTTGCAAACACCCAGCACGCCCAATGCGCCTTCCAGCTGTCGCCCTCTTCCTGAACAACCCCCCTCCTCGCCCGAACTCATTTATTCCTATTTTTAAAAAAACAATTTATATGCACCGCTTTGCTGCAGTCTGGATGATGCGGGTGGGGAAGAAAATAGCACGTCAGATCATGGCCACGTAGGCATTAGTCGGTGGCAAGAAAGGGGAAGTCTTTAGCCCCATGCATGTTTACTCGGAAGAAAGCGCCGCTGTGCACAATGGGGCTTACTCCGAGGTAAGCATGCATAGGCTGCGTTTTGTTCTTATCTTTCCCGACCAATACGGTGATTTGTTCTGCTTTAAAGCAAACAATATTTTTTAAAATGGCCAGATATCCCAGTTTACTACTACTACTACTGTTATGTACTGAAGTTCTCACCCTGGGCCAGCAGGGGGATACTGTAGATAGTTATGCAAATGAAGGATCGAAAAGTGACGTTCAGTGATTGGATAGTTTTGTATGCAAATGAAGGATCGAAAAGTGACGTTCAGTGATTGGATAGTTTTAGAACGTTGCAGGCTGACTAAGCTCCTCACTTTAGTTCTGTTCCAGCTTACAAAATAAAGAACTGCTTTGGAGAAATTGCTGTGTCGTCTGCTATGTCAACCCACAACTTAACACTGGCGACGAGGATGGGATTGATGGACATCAGAGCACAGCCAGATGCGGCCATCCTCTGAACTGAGCTGAATCACTGAGCTGAATCACAGAGTGAAATCACTGAGCAAAATCACTGGACAGAACCAATTCAGAGCTGACTGTTCTGGCTAGAGCACTGTGTTCCATCCATCGCCCTTCACGCCGGCATCGGAATCATGGCTTCACTTGTGCCTCTACCGCCGTTTGCGCCAGCCTCTGAATCATGGGACTCCTACCTCGCTCGGTTCGACTGCTACCTCCAAGCCAACGAGCTGACAGCAGTATCAGAGGAACAGAAGCGGGGCCTATTCCTCAGCCTCTGTGGGCCTGAGGTGTTTGAGATGGCCCGAGCATTGGTTGCGCCTGAAGCAGTCCAGGCAACACCATGGGACACGATCCAAGAGAAGCTCCGCAACCACTACGCGCCAAAGCCGTCCAAGATTGCTGCCCGCCATGCGTTTTACCACCGGAACCAGGCAGAGGGGGAGTCAATCAACAACTACACCACTGCCCTCAGACAGGCTGCAATGCACTGCGAGTTCCGAGACTTAGACGATGCCCTGATGGATCGAATTGTCTGCGGGGTCCGGGACATCCATCTGCAACGGCGTCTCCTCGCCAAGCCAGACCTCACGCTACAGAAAGCCATTGAGGAGGCTGTGGCCTCAGAAGCTGCTGAACGCTCCGCCCAGGAGATCCGCAAGTCCAGCAGCCCGCGTCTTGCTAGGAAGCCAGTTCCAGTGCATCACGAAGAGGCCAGCAGTGATGAGGCATCCTCCAGTGAAGACGATGACGTGCACCAGACAAAGCGGGAGCGCAGGAAGTTCCAGCAGTAGTACAAGGGCCAACCAGAATGTGCCGACTGCGGAGGCAACCATTCCCGTGCCAAGTGTCGATTCAGAGACGCCATCTGTCGGAAGTGTTCCAGAAGGGGCCACATCGCTAAGGTCTGCCGATCGGCTCCGTCTGACACCCTCCCTTCACCGACTCGCAAGTCCAAGTCTTCACTCCAGTCTGCCAAGGAAAGCTGTTTCGCTCTCACCAACTGCCGCTGCCCGTCTGGAACCACGATTGGCCAAACCGACTCGCCTATGCGACGCAAGCTGAACGTCACGGTGCTCATTGAAGGAGCTCCATGTGACATGGGGATCGACACCGGGTCTGCCCTGTCCATCGTTTCTTGGAGCACCATCAAAAGAATGGTACCCAGAGTGTCCAAAAGGCAACTCGACTCTCACCGTGTACACCTGAGAGACTACCAGGGAAACGACATTCCCGTGGTAGGCGTTGGCCAGTTCCGGATCGCCTTCAAGGATTTTTCGGGCCTGCTCCGGCTGGTGGTGGTCGAAGGTCAGCGGCCAAGCCTCCTAGGGCTAGACTGGTTTGATGCCCTCGGCCTGGAAGTCACCGGCATCAACTGCATCTCTAACGCAGAGACTGAGGGTCTGGTCAAAGACTTTGCTGAGGTTTTTGACGGCACTTTGGGGCAATATACAGGTACGCCCATCTCCTTTAGCCTTGCTCCACAAGTTGGCCCCATCAAGCTAAAGCCACGCCGGGTTCCCTTTGCTCTCAAGGCTAAGGTGGACGAACAACTGGACAAGCTGATCGCCCAAGGAGTTTTGGAGCCGGTTGACCACGCCAAGTGGGAAACCCCCATCGTCACGCCTGTCAAGCCAGACGGGTCGGTGAGAATCTGCACTGACTACAAGTGCACGATCAACAAGGCACTTCAGCAGCACGCTTATCCGGTTCCTGTTGTCCAACACCTGCTGCATTCCCTGGGTGAGGGTAAGGTCTTTGCTAAGCTGGACCTTGCCCAAGCCTATCAACAACTGCCCATCGATGATGCCACTGCTGAAGCCCAGACGATCGTCACCCACCAAGGGGCATTCCACTGCCGCCGGTTGCAGTTCGGGGTGAGTGTGGCTCCTGGCATCTTCCAAAGCCTTATGGAGCATCTCCTGCAAGGGCTTCCGGGCGTGGTACCATATTTTGATGACGTCTTGGTGTCTGCAGACTCACACCAGCAGCTGTTCGAGCGCCTCCGTGCCGTGCTGACCAGATTCCAAGAGGCCGGGCTCAAGGTAAAGAGGGAGAAGTGCCAGATCGCCGTTCCACAGGTAGAGTTCCTGGGCTATCTTATCGACGCCTCCGGCCTTAACCCGACCACATCCAAGATTCGCGCTATCCAGCAGGCCCCCATCCCAAAGAACAAGACGGAGTTGCAGGTGTTCCTGGGGCTGCTGAACTTTTATAACATATTCCTGCCCCACAAAGCCACAGTGGCTGAGCCTCTTCACCGACTCCTCAGCACAAAGACGCCTTGGTTCTGGGGTCATCGGGAGACGGCGGCCTTCAACGCGGTCAAGGCTGTCCTTTCATCGGACAGTGTGCTGGTACAGTACAGTGAATCCAGGCCGCTGGTCCTTGCCTGCGACGCCTCACCTTTTGGCATCGGTGCTGTCCTTAGTCACCGTTTTCCAGACGGAAGAGAAGCACCGCTCGCCTACTTTTCCAGGACGCTATCTCTGACGGAATGGAATTACAGCCAGCTCGACAAGGAGGCACTGGCACTTGTGGCTGGAGTGAAGAGATTCCATGAATACCTCTATGGCAGGACTTTTGACCTCATCACTGACCACAAGCCGCTCCTGGGCCGCCTCGCCGGTGATCGTCCAACTCCACTGGTCCTCTCGCCACGCATGCTGCGATGGACTGTTTTCCTGGCTGCCTACCACTACCAGCTCGTCCATCGCCCGGGGAAATCGATGGGCCATGCCGATGCCCTCAGCCGTTGCCCTCTTCCAGCGTTTGTGGAAGACCCGGCTCCAGCTTCATCACTCCTCCTGATTGAGGATCTTCCGGCAGCTCCTGTATCGGCTGCCACTGTGGCCTCCGCATCTGCCCAGGATCGCACCATCAGCTGTGTGCTCAACTGGGTGTGGAGGGGGTGGCCACAAGGGCCTTTTGCATCGGAGTTCCAGCCCTTCGCAACCAGACAACATGAACTCTCGGCTCATCGCGGCTGTCTGCTGTGGGGAGACCGCGTCGTGATTCCCCAAAGACTCCGTCAACGCGTCCTGGAGGCTCTGCACGTTGGCCACCCGGGAATTGTCAAAATGAAGGCGTTGGCTCGGTGTTACGTCTGGTGGCCTAACATGGATGATGCCATCACTGCCTGAGTGTCCGCCTGTCAAGCGTGCCAAGAATCGAGGCCTGCACCACCGGCAGCTAAGGGACACACCTGGGAGACGCCAAAGACACCCTGGTCGAGGGTGCACATCGATCTGGCCGGCCCCTTTCACGGCCGGACCTTTATGGTAGTGGTGGACGCCTATTCCAAATGGCTGGAGGTGGCCCTGATGCCCTCCACCACTACCGAGGCCGTCATCCGGGTGCTGCGAGGCCTCTTTGCGACGCATGGGTGTCCTGATGTCCTTGTCTCCGACAACGGACCGCAGTTCACGTCAGGCACTTTTGAGCGGTATCTTTTGGGACTGGGCATCCGCCATGCGCTAATGGCACCATTTCATCCATCCAGCAACGGGCAAGCGGAGAGGATGGTGCGCTCGGCAAAAGAGGCACTGGCGCGCCTGCACCGGGGAGACTGGCACGAGCGGGTCGCCGAATACTTGTTCGTGCAACACATCACCCCTCATGCGGCCACAGGGCGGAGTCCTGCTGAACTGCTTATGGGCTGCCGCCTCAGGTCACCACTTGACCGGCTGCACCCGGACTTTGCCATGGCCGAACCCCAAGGCTGTGCCAACGTGCCACAGTCATTTGTTCCAGGAAACCAGGTCTTTGCCCGGAACTATGTGGGGGACATTCCTTGGGTGCCAGCCACAGTAGTGGGAGTCACTGGACCTCGCTCGTACCAGGTGGCACTCGAAGACGGACGCTTGTGGCGCCGGCACATAGACCAGCTTAGGTGCAGGGTTGGGGACTTGGACACCACCACGGTGCCCCCAACTGCGCTCGTGACTCCAGAAGAGACACAGATGGCGAGGCTCCACCTACACCTCCCTCGCAAACTTCCAGCGTGGAGCCGAACCAAGCCGCTTCAGAGGGTCTGCCAGACTTACCACAGGCTCAGACCACTCCACTTGCGGAGGCTCCACCCACAGCAGCGGATCCAGGGGATTTGGTTTCAACGCCACCTAGGGTCGCACCACAGCCTCAGCAAGAATTGTGTGGCCCCCCGGACTTGGCTACCAGTCCCCGGCGGTCTGGCAGAGTTTCCAAGCGCCCAACTTATTTAAAGGACTATGTTGTTGGACATGTATCACTGTTGGTCTAAGTATGGGGAATGTAACCGACATGCTTTTGTGCCTAATTGAACCATTATGTGTAGTGCTGTATATAAGGAAACCATTACGATTGTAACTAACGCCTTATCTCGGTGGGGAGGGGTGTTATGTACTGAAGTTCTCACCCTGGGCCAGCAGGGGGATACTGTAGATAGTTATGCAAATGAAGGATCGAAAAGTGACGTTCAGTGATTGGATAGTTTTGTATGCAAATGAAGGATCGAAAAGTGACGTTCAGTGATTGGATAGTTTTAGAACGTTGCAACAGTTACAATTGTTCCGTAGGTCTATATAAGCAGGCTGACTGAGCTCCTCACTTTAGTTCTGTTCCAGCTTACACAATAAAGAACTGCTTTGGAGAAATCGCTGTGTCGTCTGCTATGTCAACCCACAACTTAACAACTACTAATCCTAATCATCATCATCATCATCATCCCGATTGTGGGGTGTTGTAAAATGGGCAAGCAGGCCTGCTGCTTTGCTTATAGTTCAGGCTTCCCCAACCGGGTGCCCTCCAGATGTTTTGGATTCTAATTTACATCATCCATGCTCATTAGTCATGCTGGTGGGTTGATGTAGTCCCAAACCTCTGGTGGTCACCAAGGAGGGGGAAGCTGTTTTTTCTGTTCATTTCTTTATTGCATGTCCCACTTTTTTCTCCAAAGAGCTCAAGGTGGTGTACTGAGGATGGTTCTAATCCTCAGTTAACCCCAACAGCCCTGTGAGGTACCTTAGGTTGAGAGGCAGTGACACCTCAGCGATCACTTTAACCCTTATATCCCAGGTCAATAACAGATCATTAGGAGCATCTTGGTTGTTGCTGAGTTTTGATGCTCATCTGACAACAACACAATTCCAAGCCTTATGGTGTTATCCATCCATACTTGTGGAATACTCTGCAAATAGAAATTCAACAGACACCTTCTGCTGCAACTTTTAAACACTTGCTGAAAACTTTTTATTCTGACAAGCCTATGCAGATAATTTACATATTTCCACAACAGTTAAAGCAATTAAATAAATTTTCTCAATCAATAAAGCATCCGGAATTATAGAAAGTTCGCTTGCATGTATGTACTTCATATTAATTCCTCTGCCTCTAAAGTAATCATTTTCAAAGAATTTAGAATTTATTTACAAAAGCATGCATGGCAGAAGATAAAGAAAGAGCAGAGTTAGGAATGGAAACTGCAGCATGGCCAATAGGACAAGAAAAGGTAACCTCAAGAGAAGGATACACAGGTGTGCATGGAATTGAGATGCAGTGTGAGATAACTGAAATCCCTCTTTCTACTTGCTAAGCTTTGAGCTTCCTCCAGATACGATCTGTGTTTTTCTGAAGTTTTCTTCTTAAATGTGGGAAGTGAAAAAACACTTATTTTGGAATAAAGGAAAAAGAAAGCTGAGCTTCTTTGCATATAGATTTTGCCCCCGAGTGGTAATGCAGCAATCACACCAAATGCACACAATATTATTTATAGATTATTTTATTTTTACACCGGTACTTAACCTGAGAAGTATTT